CGAGGAAAGGTGATGTCAGCAATCACATTGCTGAACACATCATTGACTTACGCACCACAGTATTGACTGGGACTCTCGCAATGCCTAACCTACAGCACCAACTACTTTCAACAACTGACTCCGGAAAGCTGGTTTACTAACTTAGAACAGATTCCCCTAAACAGGTGTCAACTACTACTGGCTCGATACAAACGACTCATTCACAACATTAACATCACAAACGAACCGAACACAACGACCTAACTTTATAGACGAATTGAAACAGACCAATCACAACTGACTTGTACTACTTGAATCTTACAACCAATAACACCGTGGCAAAACTGACCAATCCTTTTACACAAACTGGACTAAGAACATTCTACTGACAACAGCTATTCACGTAACTGTGATTGTGACTTCTGCACACAGGTTGTCGAAATGTCAGTCACCACCACCACCACCAACAACAGTCCTTCTCAGGACTACAACTCACCCGGACGATCACACTACGCTTTCACATGTCACCCCCAGGTTCTCAAACCATTTACTGCATATTATTTCTAATGGTATCTTAATTAATAGAAAATGGGGTTTTAGGAAAGGATACTCTACTGAAAGCCTTTTCCTCCATCTTGCTGAGTCCTGGAGGAGAGCATTGGATACTGGTGATAAGGTTGGATTCTTGTTCATTGATATTTGGAAAGCTTTTGATTGCGTGGACCACATAATTCTTGCAGAAAAACTTAAAGCAGTTGGTGTATTGGGTGATATGTGGAGCTGGATCAGAGATTATCTCACCAACAGTATGCAAAGGACTCAAGTTAATAATGTTAAATCAAATCTAAAACCTGTTAGAGTTGGAGTTCCTCGAGGATTTTTGCTAGGCCCTAGACTGTTTGCTACTTATGTTAATAACCTACCGGATCACGTGACCAGTGGGGAATTATATATGCATGCAGATGATACTACAATTTATGCCGTTATTTTACACGGAGTCTTAGACCAGGTTAAATCCTGGAGTCTTGAGAACAGACTGGTTGTCCCTGAAGGTAAATCCGAAGGGATGATTTCGAGCACTAAGCCGTTCATAGGTCCTATGAAACCATTGAGTCTGGTGTCATCTTTTGATTTCTTACAATCCTGACATACACTATCAATCAAAATACCATCACTGACACCAATTAAACCTTTTATTCTCTGGGCAGACTCTTCTTTGAAATTTGGCCCAAGTAGATCCAAGTTTGCCTTTAAGGAATTATTCTTGTACTCAAGAAACGAATCCATGGAAATACTTCTCCCAGCTTTTCCATGAATGATATAGAAGCTGTTGGCAAGTACGCTTTCTGCTATCTCCTCTGACATGATTGCAATCAATTTGGTTAAGAAGAGAAGGGGTAGTGTATAATACAATACTTTTTTTTAAAAAAATAACAAGCACTGTTAAAATAAGAACTGTTATTAAGAAATAGGAAGCCCAGAGGTTAACCTAAATTAAGGATCTTTTATAAAGAAGAAACTCTAGAAATACAGCACTAAACAATAAAAAAAATGTACATAAACAAAATGCAAGCTCATAAAAAAATATACAAAAGTCACAGAAATACCGTTAAAGAAGGTATAGAATGTCCATTCAGTAAATATTCATTTGATTCCTCAATTTTAGTTTAAACTTGTTGATATTTGGACTATCATGGCAATAGATTACATTACTTGGACCAGATCAAATCTCACCTAAAGATCTTAAACTGGCACAGGGATCTCTTGTCCAAGGCTTGTTTGAGGTCTTTAAAAGAGTAGGGATTGTTGCAAGTCCCCCCGAGCAGTAGAGAGAATCTTCAGTTACCATATACCTATCTCTAAAAAGGGAATAGACTGGACCCTAACAATTTTCAAGTAATATCTTTGCTTAGTGCTCCAGGGTAACTGCTCGAGAGGGTAGTATGCAAATCTTTGGATGATCATATTATTTCTGTGAATGTGTAGTGTGATGTTCCGGGTAAGTGAAGTCCTGAGAGGGATTGTTGTCGGTGGTGGTGACTGACAGTTTTACAACCTGTGTGGAAGTCATCATCAGAATCATGTGAATAGTTTTTGTCAGTAGAATGTTCTTAGTTCAGTTTAAGTGAAATGATTGGTCAGTTTTGCTGTGATGTTATTGGCTGTAAGACTCAAGTGGCGTAAGTCGGTCATGATTGGTCTGTTTCGATCCGTTGGTTGAGTTTGGTCTTTCTGTTCGGTTCGTTTGTAATGTTAATGAATGTTGTGAACGAGTCGTTTGTATGGAGCTGGTAGTAGCTGACACCTGTTTAGGGGAGTCTGTTCTAAGTTAGTAAACCAGCTTTCCAGAGTCAGTCGTTGAAAGTAGTTAGTGCTGTAGGTTTAAGGCATTGCAGAGAGTCCCATTCAATATTGTGGTTCGTAAGACAATAGTGTTCAGCAATGTGATTGTTGACATCACCTTTTCTTGTGGCCTGTCTGTGTTCAGTCAGTCTTTTTGCGAAGTTTCTGCCAGTTTTATCAATGTAGGAAGCTTGGCAGTTGGGGCAATTGATTTTAGAAATTGCTCCCTGTCTGTCCCTCGTTTTGTCCTTATCTTTAACATTGGTTAAGTAACTGACATAGTGTGGTGATGGGTTTGTGGGCGACGCGGACATTGAAGGGTTGTTAGATGCGCAAGATGTTCTCAGACATGCCTTTTATGTACGGTATGGTTACTGTAGCCGTAGGAGTTGGGGTGTCATTTGTTTGGTAGTAGTAGTAAGTCAGTGAGTGTTTCGTCGAATGAAGTCGTCATTGTAGTTGTTCTTTGAAAAACCACGGTAAAGGTATTTGTTCTTGTCGGATAAGCTGTCTGTCATGTTGTATACTGATTCTGCACGTTGTGTTAGAGTTCTGATAATTGTGACTTTGTGTGATGTAGGGTTGTAGGATGACTCGTCCAGTAATCTGTCGGTTTCCTGGAAGCTGTCCTCTGTAGATAATTGTCGTCACGGCTTACCAGACAGTCTAGAAATGGAAGTTTGCCGTGAACTTTGTTTATCACTGTTACATTCATAGCTTTGATTCATTTTACCAGCCCTTCTGTTATTTCTGTAATAATTCATGTAAGAATTCCATTTGCTTTTTTTTTCATTGCTCTTAGTGGTTATTCTAACATCATTCAGATTGGAATAATTATTGTGTTTTCTTTTTCCAGTACTATTGTGTACTTGTTCAGGAAGAACATTTTGTTCTGTAAAATTGAAATCACTATTGTGACTTCTGTAAGGGTGCTCATTTCCTGAGTAAGAGCTATTTGGTATTGTTGATACATAATGCACTTCGTTTACATGACCTATATATATTGTTCTTGGTTGCTGTGATGATGAATGGCGTGGCTCTATTAAAGTTGCCTGTCCAAAATTTATGTGAGATTCTACAATATAAATTTGTATATTAAGTGATTCTGCAACTGCTTGTACAATTAATGCATCACACCATGTACCTTGCATTGACATATTTGTCAAGTAACCATTCCATGAGTTCTGAGTGTTGCTTTCAATGAAACGTTCAGGGTTATCCCTGAGGTATTGGACAGCAGCTTGTCTGATGTGAAAGTGATGACTGGGATTACCATACAATTGATGTGATACGGCTTTAAAAAAGCAGTCACCTGCACCACCCACATCTAAAGCTATCAATCCCAACTGTCCTAATCGAAAGTTAAGCAATGTTGAGGAATCCACTGACAAATTGGTCTGATTGTTCACATTCTGTTCGGGACCTGGATTTAATTCAACGTCACCTGATCTCAAAAGATTCATCCTTGATACGCAATATGTTTTAGCCGGGCAAGTTGATTTTTTAATTTTACCTGAACAACAGCTACTAGTTTGCTTTCTTTTTTTTGACTTTTTTGTTGCCAGTCTTTTAAAATTGACTAAGGAAGTAATAAAAGCGTTGCATTTTTGTAAATACCGTATATACCACAATTTATAGTGAGTAACCAAGTCATACAATCTTGAAGATTTAGGGGTACATTTCTTAAAAATAAACTTTAGCTTGCTTCTAGCTTTTCTCTTTTTCATATAATTTAGGACCTTTTTCACAGGTATTCTAGATGGCTCTCGGTCTCTATGTCGTTTTACTTGTTTAACGAACTTGGAATTTTTCCGAGGGGAATGTTTGTGGAATTCTTTCGATGGCGGTACATCAACAATGGAAGCTCCCACAACAAATCTTACATCTGTTTTTAAAGATCTGTTAGAAACTATCCTTAGATAACAAATATCATGAATTGTACTTCTACACTTCCCTTGTAGGTTAAAAATTGCAACAGCTTTCGCAAATGTCTGGCCAGTGAAAGGTATTTTCACTTTAGGGGCGATTTCATTTCCCAAACAGCGGGTTAAACAGGGCATATTTCCCTCAGTGGGCTTTATAATCCCCAAAAGGGGCTCAATAATTCCCGTAATGGGCCTTTCTCTCCCCAAATGGGGCTCATTTATTCCCCGAAGGGACTTTCTTTTCCCCAAATGGGGCTCATAAAGCTTATTTTGTGTCCAAGGCACTCGCAATATCGCCGAGTGGTGATGCTGTTGGCGCCAAGAAAGCTTCCATCGATCTACAACTTCAAAGCATCTTTCAAAACCTTTCACACGGCCGGACAAACAAGTAGTGCGAATGCTGTGGCAAATGGACAAAATACCCTTTAAGAAATCCATCACAAAGATGAAAAACGAAAAGATCACTTACCTAGCAAGCAACAAACACTGCAATAAGCTCACGTGAAATATACCACAAGATGGCGGACCTCTTCCTTCGAAAGCTGAACGGAAGCACATGGTTGTTGACGAAGTTGACGTTTCCTTTTCTCGTATTTGATTGCTTCCGAGTCTTTCCGGAAATTAGTTGTGTGCCACGAGCTGTTGGCGTTGTCCATTTCTCAAATCCGATTGGTTCCAATATTCCCCAGAGGAACGAATTTAACCCGAAAGTATTACACCCGAAAGTATTACAGGCTACCGAAAGTATTACACTTTGAGAATACTTCATGTAACATGTCACGAAATGGAATCCACGGTGAAACGTCATGAGAAAATCCGCGATTTTATCTTATATGAAGTAATGGTCGCGCGTTTTACAGCTTATCATTGTGTCTGCATGCAAATGCAGCAGACACAAAAAGGGAATAGACTGGACCCTAACAATTTTCAAGTAATATCTTTGCTTAGTGCTCCAGGATAACTACTCGAGAGGGTAGTATGCAAGTCTTTAGGTGATCATATTATTTCTGTGAATGTGTAGTGTGATCTTCCGGGTGAGTGAAGTCCTGTGAAGGATTGTTGTCGGTGGTGGTGACTGACATTTTGACAACCTGTGTGGAAGTCGTCATCAGACTGGCAAAAACCTCGCATAAAGACTGACTGAACACACGCAGGCCACGAGCAAAGGTGATGTCAGCAATCACATTGCTGAACATATCATTGACTTACGCACCACAATATTGACTGGGACTCTCGCAATGCCTAACCTAGAGCACCAACCACTTTGAACAGCTGACTTCGGAAAGCTGGTTTACTAACTTAGAACAGATTCCCCTAAACAGGTGTCAACTACTAAAAAAACTGAGAATAATTCGAATCCTTATCTATAGTATGGACATAATTTCTACTGACTTAGAATTGTGTTTGATCTTACTGTGTTATTGTTCAAGCACTATTTTGTTCAAGCACTATTTTGTTCATTCTGGTCAGATTTTATATTAAACATGAGGAAATCTTCAGTTTGTTGATTGGGTTGTTTCTAGCTCAGTACACCAGACTATTTGAAGTAACTTTGAAGTAACAAGTAACTTTTTCCATTCATTGCAAATTTCTTGGGAGTGTGATATGTTTCTGTCTTGTGGTGGAGTGCTGGTGATATGTCTAGCTGGGGGGAGACACTGTAAACAGATTTGTAGTAGAATGGATATACCCTGCTGGTTGAATGAGCATTATGGAAGGTTTAACACCACTTGGAGCCAAACAAAGAAAAAAAAAAAAAGAAAAAAACCTTATGCTTGTGAGCAACAACAGCTCTTTAGGAGCCACCAAACTTGCAAAAGCAATGATCAAAGTGGCTGACCCCAAACACAAGTGTTTTCCTGAAACATGGTTTTCAACAATAAAAGCTGATAGTTTCTAAAGAAACTGTTTGGCGCTGCGTCGGTGGGGGTAACGAGATAATTTGAATATATCAACAAAGTTGAAATGGTAAATTGGCCACCGTTACGATTATAAAAGCTGACCTTTCGAGCGTTAGCCCTTCGTTCGTCGGTTTTCAACAGATGGGTGTGAAACACACTGGAAATCTAATCATATGTAGGATGCTCTTCATACCAAGCACCTGTAACTTGAAATAAAATTTCCTCCCTTGTCCACAATCAATAGTACAAGGAATGCCATGTAGTTGCTCCAAGGGAATCCAGTTGAATAAAGAGAAGCACAGAAATCTAGTCTGATTATTAGCACAATAACTAGGAGACCTTGTAAGAACTTGGTTGAAAGGGAAATGGCTCATGAATGTGTAAGGATCTTGGTCAGCATAATACGTACAGTATATGTGTGCATAAAGAAGTCATGTAACTATAAAAAATCACACAATTATTTATATGGAGAGATGCTTGACACAATATTCAATATTATGATAATAATAATAATGGAAACTTTATTTGTGTTTTGAAATGTACAATTGTAAATCTCACTACGTATAGGCAATTTACAAATGCTGCTTGAGATGGGCTTATTCAACACACACAAAAATCAAAATTGCTTCAAATCTGGGTTGTCCCAATTCCTATTTCTACAACAAAAGACGTAATATGTTGCTGTAATAGCAATATTTATCATTTTCTTGATTATGTAAAGTTGCTGCTTTTTGTCAATGCCTATGTCATTCATCGTGTCTAAGAACGTAGAGCATTCATCTGAGAAAACGCCATGGCAGCTCATGGAGAGATATACAAACTTCACACATCTGAAAGTTCTACTCATTTCGTTAATCAAGTTCCGATATTTTTCTTTTTTACGTACTGCATTGTTGTACAAGTTAGATTCGAAACCAACTGTTAATTCAGGAACATATAGGCACTTGGACTGGGTTAGGAAAAGAAGATATGGGCGATAATTTTCACCAGTTATTATCGAGGGATTTAGAAAACCAGTAACAACTGCATAGATTGAGGAGCTAACATTAATTACAGGTTGAAGGGACTTGGCAATGAAGTTAAGGATTGAGTCGTGTCTCTAGGTAAAGCGATCAAGGCGTTGTTGACAACCAGCGACCACATGAAGGAGTGACTCAGGATTAAGGTAAAAGGAACAATCAGGACTTTGTGATAATCCCCATCTTACCAAATTCTTACGTGTAGGAAGAGAGTTGTTGATGTAGCGGATGGTAAAGTTGTAAATGTTCTTCGGTAGATGGGACTGGGCCACTGACCAAATAGAATTAACAGATGACAATGAAAACTGGATAATATTTAAGAAGAAGAAAGCTTGAGATGTTAGGTGGTGTTGCAGTTTATCCTCTCGATTAGAACGGAAATCCTTAAGAACTTCCTTAGTGGATTTGTACACATTATATTGAATATTAGTGTCACAGCTTGACGATTTCCAGAGAGCTTTCAAGGAATCATTTGGGGACTCTTTTAATGAATTTCGGAGAACTGAGTGGCACTGAGTAAATTTGATAGAGGGAGGAAAAATATTAAGACCAAATTTATTGCTTTTTAGGAAAACATTGCTCAGTGTTCCAGATATCGGAATATCAAGCCATTTTCGGATGTAGCCATTCACTACAGAGTCGAGATGTTGCGTTATCCAGGTTTTGGATATATTTGCTATGGTGAAATGCCATGACAACTTCGATAGGACATAGCGGCTGTACAGAAGAAGTTTGTGTTTAGGATGCAGTGGCTTTATATCGATGTCATTCATCAAGATTTGTACAAGAGAAGACAATTCAGATTTGAGTTGGTTATTAGACATGTTGAAGTCAAAGAAGCGACCTAAGTAACGAAATGATTCACCAATTTCCACACAGGGAAGTAGATTAATTAGGTGTTGCTTTTCTGATTCTTGACCGCTTATGACAGCGGCATCGTCAGCGAACTGAAACCAGTGAATGGGATTTAAGAACTCGAGGGAAAAGCCAAACTGGCGGTATTTTTCAGATTTAATATGCTTTAGAAACGTGTTAAAACACAAGTTAAAGAGAAGTGGGCTAAGGCAATCACCTTGGATATTGCGGGCAGAGACCATTCAATGATTTATAGACAAAAAGAAGGTAATAAAATGATTCAATATGAGACAAGCAACCAATTATTAATTTGTATTAAGGCAGGAGTAATATGGTCATATTTCCTTGTACCAGTGACATAAAGAGGAGCAATGTTATGGATTTGTTGTACCTCTTCACTTTATACCTTGGTATAAAGATGGAGCAGTGTTCATGACTTATCAGTAAGAAAGATCAGTGAAAAGGGAACTACATTTTTGTAGAATCAAATGCTTGTTACTGATGGATGAGTAACATTTTCTATTGAAAGTCATATGATAGATTACTTCTGTCATGGTCAAAATGAAGATTGTAATTGTTTCTCATTATGAATTAGGGAAGCGTAAAAGAGCACTGAAAAATAAAATATATGCAAATTGATTGTGCTCAAGTTATCCCTAATTGATAAAGAATGAAAGTTATTATCAAACGTGTTCTTGAGCAAGACTGGTGCAGATATGCATATGGATGACTAATAAAAATCAGCCTTTGTCTGCCCTTTCTGATGTTTCCTGTCCATGGTACAGCTCTAAATAAGGGTCCTTTCGGCTCAAGTTCTCTAGGGATCATCCTCAACAATCTAGAACTTAAGATCTCTAACAACTTGGATTCTGTAAAGCAATACACTCTCATGTGACCTCCTTTATCACTGCTTCCTGAACTTGATAGAGTGGCTTTGCTGGACCTCTCCCCTGGTTTCAGAGTTCAAAAAGTGTAAATCCAGTCAGTTCTTCAAAGCAGTCCCGAGACAAGTACATGACAATTTATGCCTGTGAAAATGAAAATACTGAAGTAAGCTTTTGTTAAAGAGACTTTTGTTACGTTACAGTTGTCGCGTAGCGCGCGACTATCATTTGCATATTGATTCGTTATTCGAGACTCGTCACGTTCTTTAGGTGTTAGTTTTTTTCCACTAGTCGTCGCATCGCTAGGTCACTTGTAACATCGTCGTAAGAATATTAAAACAAGAAATCGACGATGATACAGTCTGATCGAATCGTCATTAACTATTTTTCTAAAGTTGGGAAAATCGTCCTTAACAGCTTTCATCTTGTGATTCATTTTGTCCTTCCTCAGTATAAACTTTATTGACATTCCAATAAATGGCTTTTCAATGCCAATTTACAAAAACTGAAAAATTCACAAATATATTTAAAAGGATCATCTTTCAATCAACTGTAGACTTAAACTTTCAATTTTATCATTCATCAATAAACTTCTGTATCAAGATAGACTTGAGCTTCCTTTTAAAAGTTTGTAGTAATACTTACAATAGATTTTAAAGAAGTGTCTAAAGAGTTCCATATCTTAGTTGTTCTGTATAAGAATGTACGTTGGCCACTTGTTGTTCGATATTTATTAATGTGAAGATCGTTATTCCTTGTTGTGTAATTGTGCGTATCCTTTCTTTTACTGAACTTTGAGCATGGGTTAACTGTGATGCTAAGCCATTGATGCATTTAAAGGCAATCATTGCATTCTTTAATTCCAGATGTTGTTTGATGGGTAGCCACTTTAACCCAGGAAGAACACGGGTGATATGATCGTACATAATACGTGTACCAAAAATAATTCTAGCTGGCTGTGTAGTTTTGAATTAATTGTACCTTGTTAAAAATTGATTAGTATCTGTGGTGTTTCGAATAAATATAAAAGCATGATGTCTATGTTTCCCAACAATCTTTAAATAAGCAGTTATAGAACATGTGGACACTTTGATGGTATTATTAATCTTTCCATAGCTCATAGCAAACATTTCAGTATCAGTAGTACTTGACCAGATGGCTGAACAGTAATCAATCTTACCCATCACAAGAGCATTGATGATGACTGACAGTGTTTCTTTGTTGAATGCATGTCAAACACAATTTATT